TCCCGCATCGGCCTTAGGCACCCGCTCACCGGTCCTGCCTCCCTGTTTCCCTAGTATCCAGGACCCCACGCATGCACTGTGTCTGCGCTCTGGTCCGGAATCCTGGGGCTGGGTGTTCAGCAGTCCTGGGCTCCTTCTCCCTCCCGCTCAGATCTCTCTCTTCCTGCTGGGAGCTGGGGGGAGGGGCGCTCAGGACCTGCAGGGCCAGGGCTTGTATCTTACCCCCTTCGCGAGGCACTGGGTTCTGGCAGGTGTGGATGTGGTCTGGATGTTGTCCCGTGTCCTCTGGTCTCTATTTTAGGAAGAGTTGTCTTTTCTTATTTATATTTTCATAGATAAATTTTCTTATCTATATTTTCATAGATAAATGTGGTTTTGGGAGGAGATTTCTGCTGCTCTACTCACGCCTCCATCTTCTCATGCTAAATTTTTAATGCTAAATGCTCATGAAGTGCAATGTTGCTAATGTAAAAATTGATGATAATTACCAAATCTGAATATATTTGATCATATGAAACCCCTGCCCAATGTTTACAGGCTCTATGTGAACTGGAGATTTTTACGAGGCATTGAGGCCCAATTCTTGGCTCTGCAGAAAGGATTTAATGAAGTAATTCCACAACATCTGCTGAAGACATTTGATGAGAAGGAGTTAGAGGTCAGTGTATTAATGTTGTGACATCATTTAGTGTAACAAAAAGAAAGGTTGGGAATTTTCTGTTATTTAGTTTTAGAGAAACATTGTATTTCTGGAATCCCCAAGCTAGTAAGTGATGAAACCGAAATAATATGATATAGGTCTTAAGGAAGGCACATATAAACTGTATTTACTCTTTCAATGTAGTTTCTGCCCATTGAAAAACATTACAGAATTCTACCATGAAAACATGGAACTTTCATCTGGTCGTGTCCATTACAGCAGTGGTTCTCAGACGCTGGGTAGGGAACCCGCAGTAAGTAGATACCCATGCAGCTTGTAAAACCAGATCCTTAGTGTCACCCCAGACTCACTGACATAGGACCTGGTATGTATATTTTGAAAAGCTTTTCTGATGTGTACCCTTAAGAACCACTATATGAGAGCCAACACTGCACATCTGAAGTTCTATTTTGAGGAATATTTGTCTTAACTTGGGTTTCCATTGGCTCATTATTTGTGCAATATCTTAACAGCTCATCATTTGTGGACTTGGAAAGATAGATGTTAATGACTGGAAAGTAAACACCCGGTTAAAACACTGTACACCAGACAGCAATGTTGTCAAGTGGTTCTGGAAAGCTGTGGAGTTTTTTGATGAAGAACGACGAGCACGGTTGCTTCAGTTTGTGACAGGATCATCTAGGGTGCCTCTGCAGGGCTTCAAAGCTTTACAAGGTACAAGAGCCCGAGGACAGATGATCTGGCATCAGATGGACTGGGGGAGGGGGCAATGTTGGTTTATACAGACAGCTTACAGACCATGTTCTTATAAACAGATTCTCTTTCACTCCATTTCTTAGCTGTAACTCTCCTATCCTGATACCCTCTTCTCCCTCCTTTCCTTGGTTCCCCTCCCAAGAGCCTTTTCCGCTGGGGTTCTCTGATTGTAGTGAGTGCTGCACGTCAGAGACCATATATGGTGATGCTCTGTCTTTTGTTTTCTGGTCATCTTGCTTCTAAATTCTGTTGCACATTCCTATAGGGAAGGGCTGTCTGCTTCCATCTTCACATCTCAACCTGGCAGAACCTTTACCTACTTGGGATGCCTCTCCCCTCTACTTTTTTTTATTGTTTTACATAGAGGCAGCATGAAGCCTACAAGCCATTTGTTTGGTCAGAGCACCTTGATTATTGCATGGCATCAGACCATTTATTTACAACCAGATTCCATTTTCAGAATTGTTTTCTGTGGAATAGCTGTTCAGTTTTTGATGCATTAGTAATACTGCTAATGATTATGGTGCATCACTACATGGCAGTTGTTTTTTTTTCTTTATGTCTGAAGCTCTTCATTGTCAAAAGCTGCTGCTGGTGGTAGTGACTGAGGGTATACAAAGCAAGACTGGAACACAATTCAACAGTGTTGCCCACAATACATATGTCAAAACTCCATGGAGAATGCATCCTTTGAGTTATGCGTGCATGCCCTATTTGTAAAACTCATCATTATCAGACTGCCCAGATGCATAAAGTGAAGTTGTATTTCTACATATATTTGTATGGGATGTATTATGTTGACTGAAATTTATTCTATAGACTGCTTCTCTTTTGCTTTCAGCCAGGTTCAAGTCATGAAACCTAAATTTGCATTTAGGTCATCTTTTTGAATGTGTGTGTGTGTGTGTGTGTGTGTGTGTGTGTGTCCCAGATGCATAAAGTGAAGTTGTATTTCTACATATATTTGTATGGGATGTATTATGTTGACTGAAATTTATTCTATAGACTGCTTCTCTTTTGCTTTCAGCCAGGTTCAAGTCATGAAACCTAAATTTGCATTTAGGTCATCTTTTTGAATGTGTGTGTGTGTGTGTGTGTGTGTGTGTGTGTGTGTGTGTGTGTGTGATCTTGGATTTGCCTGCTTACTTTTGTTCTCATACTTTTGGGACATGACATTTGTCTTCCATAGAAGTTGGTGAAGGATTCCAATCCTGAACTTTCTTTCAAATTGAAATGCTGGCATATTAAGGAATCCTGCCTTATCCAAGGTCAAGTCCAGCTTTCAAAATCCAAATTCTTTTCCTCCTGCCCTTTGGCAGTTTGTGTGGAGTCTCCAGTACTCTGCTGCCTCTAGACCCTGTAGTTTATGTACCAGTGTTATTCTGAGATTACGGAACTAATCCATGCACTTGCAGTCATTCGACCTGCACTTAATTCTTCTACAGGTGCTGCAGGCCCACGACTCTTCACCATCCACCAGATTGACGCCTGCACTAACAACCTGCCCAAAGCCCACACTTGGTAAGTTATCTTCTTAGCTTTCCCCACCTTATTCCATGTATGTGGGTGTTAAGTTTCAAACAGAATTGACTTTTCATTTATTGTTCTTACTACCAAAGGGACCTTAAAAAAGAGTGGTCATCAGCTCTTTTAAGTGATTTTAGATTATTCAGAAATTGATAGGAAAACCCAAAAGTGGTAACCTCTACTTTAGAGAAATACAACCTTTTAATTTTCTGTGTGACGCACAGAGAGTGATATGGCTGTATTAGTATATACTTGCTAGGCCAGTTTACTTATTTTGAATGAACTGTATAAAATCTGATGTGCTTATTTACAGCTTCAATCGAATAGACATTCCACCCTATGAAAGTTATGAAAAGTTATATGAAAAGCTGCTAACAGCCATCGAAGAAACATGTGGATTTGCTGTGGAGTGAGGAACAGAAGATTTACTTACCCAGGACTCTATTCATGCCCCTGGGCGGACGGACAGCCTCCTTTCAGCAGAGTCTCAAGGAAGCTGAAATATGGGAAAATGCCCTCCCCAGCTCCTCCCTCCCCGCCCTCTGCCCTTTAAAAAAATTTTTAGGACACTGTGAGGGGAAAGGACAACTTTGAAATTCCTTTTCAAGGAAAAAAAGAGGTCTTTATGCTTTGCCATGAGGCCACATTCAGCTGCTATTTAAAATTAATATCTTGAACCTAAAGAATGCTGACTTTTCCTACATTTCCAGAATTAGGCAGTATTCTACATTTAAAGACTACTACTATTTTTATAAAAGGTAATCTATTCAAATTGCTTCACAGATTTCAAGTCTCAAACATCAAGACAACTTCAGCAGTCGGTACAAGTCACATTTCATTTTGATTGAATACGTGATTTTAAACAGCTCCTGTACTTGCTCTTTGTAAAAAAATAAAATAAAATTATTTTGAATTATTATACCTTTGTAAACAATTGGCTAAAGTAATCATTATCTTTAAAAAATCAAGCCATTTACATGTTTAATTACATTTTTCTATAGCAAAGCATTATATTTTAAAAGCATTATATGTTTCAACCTAGCGTTAAGTGAAGCTTTTTTATATTTTTCAAGCATGAGTTTCCTGGAATACAGCTATATAATTTTGATTGTCAAGTTCCTAATCCAACCACTTAGTCTCAGCTTAGCTTATTTGCTACAATAAGATGCATTCAGGGGCTCCCTGTTTTTAAGAGACTTTAAAAAAAATCCTAACTTTTTATCTTCAATCAATATGATCAGGTATTTTGGATTTACTTTTCATCTTAAGTGGAAATACTGCATTTTTGTAGCTCCGCAGATCATGTGGATGGGATTGGATTTTCATTCTTTTGCTGGGTCAGTTTATATTTAATGTATATTTACTATTCCTGTAAACCAAAGTCTCCTATGACACCTGCACCTAATTTATATTTTAATTACAGTGTTTCTGCCAAGTAAACTGTCCTGAATCTATCTTTAGCTACTCATGATATTTATTTATCAGCTAAAATTATGAAAAAGGAGAACTTTTGCTCTAAAGATTATTTACAAGTTTAGGAAACCCTGCTTTTATGTAACAAAATGAAGGTGGGGGTGGCAGGGCAGGGGATGTGATTACTAAAGAAACAGTGATTCTAACTATGGTAAAAGTTACTTTAAAAGGAGTTAATTTTGCAAGTAAGGGAATCCCAGTCCTTTTTGGTGTTGAAGATCAGCCTCTGATTTTGAAATACACAGATTTAGCCTAACTTCAAGGTGTACAGCATGTTGCGTGGTCCAGAAGGCAACCAAAATTCTGGAGTGAGGGATTGGAAAAAATCTGAAGTCATTGATGGATTTTTAAATTCAACCATCAGAAATCTGCACTATACTTTTTTTTTTAACATTTCTGTGAAATCAAGGATAGCAAATTCTGATGAGATAGCTTTGCTGAAATTTTGCAGCTTAATTATCAAGTAAATAGGCTCTTTGTGTTCTTTCATTTGATGGATTGTTTTTTTCAGTCTGTGTTCTTGGAGCTAAGGGGCTCCTCAGAGGTGCCTCAGAAGTAATGGTTTAAGAAAGGAGGGACAAAGAGGGAGAGAAAGGGCCTGGTTGGGATTTGGAGTAGGAGCCTCTAACTCCCCACCCCTACCCCTTTACCCAGAGCAGTTCTAGTTTTTCTTTTATATATTGCAATTTCAAGTAAGCTTTCATGGCGGGTAGGGGAATAGGGGGATAAAAGAAGTGGAAATTTTGCTGATGGAAAAAAATTGAAAACTACTTGTGTAGTTTCCAAATATTTCATTTATTTCATTCAGCCAAATTTGACTGCCAAATGCAAGCTAGTCATAGTTGTAACTGTGTGGTGGTAGGGTGCTTATGCTTACCTTTCCTCTTCCCAGACACTCTTGTTTTCCTACCACATTCTTAGTAGTACCTAAGAACATCTTGAAATGTACATACAGAAAGTTTCTATACTATTTGATTATCAGTAGTTTTCAGCTTTCACAATAGTAATAGTACCTTTCTGGTTGCAGGTCCATCTCTTCTATATTGAAGCACTAGTGCAGTATGATTGTGCCTACTCTTACAATCTTTCTGTAAAAAGTACACAATGAACACTTCAGAGAAATGGTAACTGATGGATGCAGTAATAATGAAGTGCTACTATTGTACAATATATAAAGCAGGCAACACCATCGCTTTTTGAGTGCCTTTTAAACTTTCTAATAATGACCTAATAGAGCTTTAAAGGAAATAAATTACTCTTCCTAAGAGTCTATCATATCACCAACAATTTATGAAAACATGATAATTTAGATTTCATTTTTAAGATTGTTAACCTGATTACTTCCCAAACAGGTGCTAAAAAGCAAACAAAATCCCCCAATGTGTCATTGAACCTTGAACTTGCACCTCATGTTTAATGTGAATATTTATTTCCACATGTCCCTCTTAACTGGGCTTTTTCTCATCCTTCCTAGTTGTTATTTCAGATACGTGATGTCACGTTTCCGTACATTGCCTTTCCATCATGAATGCTCTATGAACAGTGGCTATTTTGTAGAGCTCATATGCAGTACAGAGGTGAGTTTTATTTCAGAGGGTCTTATTTCTTGATATAAAGTTTTTAAAAAGTGCTGTGTCTAGTGTACATTTTGTTTTGCACATAGTTTGTTGCCCTGAATGGGTTTCATTTTTACCAAGTCGTTTTTTTTCCCCTTTGTATTGTATTTACAGTCTAGAGCACAAGTTTCCTTTCTCTTAAATACAATGTAATCTTTGCTTCATTGTACAACACTAAGTGTGTCTGAACTTCCAGTGCGTTGAACTGATTGCACTAATGGAAGTTAGATTGTTCCAGTCATCTTTACAGTTTGATAGAGCATCTCCTGCTTCTGTTTTTAAGCTGCAGCACAGAGTTAACAGATGCCATTTGTGGTATGTAACGTTTGTATGTTAGCAGGACGATTGTACCAAATGCCGAGTTGTTTTGTTTCTAGAGGTAATTAGTTCACGTAATGTAATACTCTTCCTTCTCTCTGAGTTTAAAAACAAAGTTTTATCATTTTCCTTGTATTTGTATTTATTACAGAGTGTTTTAGCTTTGATATTCTTTGTATTTTCATTCAGTTGTTACATGAGCTTTATCAATAACATCTGTATAAACGGTTTTAAAAATTAACTATGTATGTGCCCATGCCGAAGTTGAGCAATAAAATGAATGCTGTTTGCACTGTCACAGCATCAAAATTTTTAAATAATGAGTTTACAATTGTTTTGAAGAAACCTGTGATTGACTCTATGAAGAGTGACTGCCTAGGAACCCTAAAATGAGTAAGACGACACACATGCCTTAGGTGACACCTTTGTCACATTGCAGAGCTCAGGACCCCCTCTTCTGTTCCCAGTAGAGTGGGAAGGTGCTTGGTTTTCTTCTGCCATTGCAGGTTGATTGGCTGGCAGTGGCTTTTTGGGGGCTGTATGGAAACGGATCTCTGAAGCTGGTCAGGGCTTACTGGGAAAGAACGCTCCAGTCCTGGAACAGTGTCTGGCAAGGCTGTTGGGGGGTGGAGCTATGTGTGGCGCCTCATTTGCTACCTTGGTTTTGAGCTGTAAAATCCTCAAAATAAGGAGAATCAATTATATTTCCCAAGAAGCCATGACTTTAAGGGTCATGATCCACCTCTATAAGTGATAGTGGATGAAAGCCCAACTAAGTACATTGGTGGAAAAAGGGACAGATACGATATTTTTTCATCCAAAATATAGTCTGTGTAAGTCCCTCCACAGCATAAGCCACCCAGAAAGGAGTGTCTGGGAAATGCAGTGTGAAGTAGTGGTGTATTTAAAGTCCAGAGTGGGCATGGTGTCCATTGTTAATATCCTTCTGAAATCTATTTTTTGTTTTGTCTCACATTGCCACATTTATTGGTTATTATCTAAAAGTTGTAAAGTTTTAGTACATTAAGGGTTTTAGTAGTAGTATAATCTATAAATTACCCAAAGGTTTGTTCTGATTAATATGTGATAAGTTTTTCTGCTATGTGGTGACCTGAAATGTTTGTCCCTTCGCTGTAATGAAGTTAACCTTGGCACTCAGTATATTTATTTGTACTTTATATCCCAAATGCTTACAGTAGGATGTAGGCAATAGAACAGGATAGAGATAATTATACAGAAAAAGGGTTACATACTTAGTTTAACACTCTTAGCAAACTAGACAAACCTGATTTTAAAGACTGTTTTTATTAAAGTTATTTTCCCTAAATGTGATTTGTTCTTTGTTCTTTCAACAAATTACTACTCTGTGTGTCAGGCTCTGTATTGGCTGTTAAGGTTCTAGCTTTGGATGGTCGTTAGAAAACTGAGCTTCCAAACTAGTGCTTCTAGCCTGTGTCTTGGTAGAAGCTGAATATACAGCTTAAGTAATCAAACCCAGTTTGCATCGAGAAAAGAAGTCTGTCAGGATGGGAGCACAGGATTAAATACATCACTTCGGCAAGGCCTCAAATCCCAGACTTGGTTTGTAAAACAACTGGTTTTGCTCCTCCACTTCCCTTCCCCAGTGATACTTCAGAACCAGAGACATTTGTCTCTGGGACAAGTAGCTCCTTCCTTCTGTTTGTGTCCATTATACAACTGGTTACATTTCCAAGGTGATATGCTCTACAGCTACTGGTTAGCGTACCTTTTGTGGCTATTGGGGCGGGGATTTTATCTAAAAGGTCTCTAATATGAGCCATAAACCCCACTTCTATCTCCCTTACAGTGTTTTATAAGTGAAGGAAGTAGAAGAGCCGCTGTAGTGGCCTGGGGTCGGGGTGGGGGTGGGGAGCTAGGGGGAGAAGGAAGAAGGAAACATGCAAAGATGTTTCTCCTGTTCACCAAAGTGTTCATGAAGTATTCTAACTTTCAGCCCAGGAATTGGGAGTGAAGATGATGAGCACATCAGATTCAACCTTACAGACCCACTCACTTCTCCCAAAGATGATGCTGGCATGGCAAGAAGGTAGAGCACCATCGAGACCAGAGGGGCAAAGTTTTTTTTTTTATTGAGGTAAAATTGATATATATTAGTTTTAGGTATACAACATGATTCGGTATTTCTATATATTGTGAAATGATCACCACAATAAGTCTAACATCCATCACCATACATAGTTACAAAATATTTTTTCTTATGATGAAAATTATTAAGATTTATTCTATTAGCAACTCTCAAGTATGCAGTAAGTATAATTAACTATAGTCACCATACTGTCTGTACATATCCCCATGACTTATTTTATAGGCTGGTTTGTGTCTTTTGGCCCCTTTCACCGATTTTGCCTACCCCCTACCTCTGGCAGCCACCAATCTTTCACTGTTATCTATGAGCTTTTTTTTTTTTTTTTTTTTATTTGAAGGGTAGTTGACACAGTATTACATTAGTTTCGGGTGTACAACACAGTGATTCAACATTTATATACATGATAATTCTAGCTACCAGCTATCACCATACAAAGTTGTTACAATATTTTGACTATATTCCTTATGCTATACATTACATCCCGGTTACTTATTTATTTTACAATTGCAAGTCTGTACTTTTTTTGTTTGTTTTTTGAGAGGGCATCTCTCATATTTATTGATCAAATGGTTGTTAACAACAATAAAATTCTGTATAGGGGAGTCAATGCTCAATGCACAATCATTAATCCACCCCAAGCCTAATTTTCTTATGAGCTTTTTTTTTTAAAGAAAGATTCCACCTGAGAGTGAGATAATACTATTTGCCTTTCTCTGACTTATTTTGCTTTGACATAGTGCCCTCATGTTGTCAGAAACGGCAAGATTTCCTTTTTTTTTTTAAATGGCTGTTTGACTGTGTGTATATACACCACATTCTTTAAGTCTATTCATCTGTGGAAAGATACGTAGGTTTTTTACCATACCTTGGCTACTGTAAAAAATGCTGCAGTGAACACAGGGGTACAGATCTCTCTTCCAGTTAAGTGTTTCCATTTTCTTCAGATAAGTGCCCAGAAGTGAAATTGCTGGGTCCTTATGGTATTTCTATTTTTAATTTTTTGGAGGACCTCCCTCCGTACTGCTTTCTGTAGTGGCTACACCAAATTATACTCCCACCAACAGTGCACAAGGGCTTCCTTTTCACCAGCTTGTTACTTCTTCCTGATAATAACCATTCTAAAGATGTGAGTGGACAGGTGATTGTGGTTTTGACTTGCATTTCCCTCATTAGTGATGTTGAGCACATTTTCATGTACCTTTTGTCCCTTTGTATGTCTTCTTTGGAAAAACTTCTAAATTCCTCTGCCTGTTAAGTAGTTTTTTTTCCTGTTGAGTTGTATGTGTTCTTTATATATTTTGGATATTAACCCCTTTACCGGATACCTGATTTGTAAACATCCTCTCCCATTTGGTAGGCTGCCTTTCGTTTTGTTGATGGTTCTTTGCTATGCAGCTCAGTTTGACACAGTCGAATCTGCTGATTTTTGCTTTTGGTGTCAAATCTAAAATATCCTAAGACTAATGTTTAAGAGTTTACCACCTGTGTTTTTGGTTCCAGGTCTTGTGTTCAAGTCTTTAATCCATTTTCAGTTGACTTTTGTGTATGATGTAATAATAGAGTGGTTCAGTGTCAGTCTTTTTGCATGTGGTTGTCCAGTTTCCAAGACCATTTATAGAAAAGAATGTCCTTTCCACACTGTATATTCTCTCACTTGTCATAAATTAATTGACCATATATATGTGGGTTTATTTCTGGGCTCTCCATTGATCTACATGTCTGTTTTCATGCCACTACCAGATTGCTTTGATTACTTACAGCTTTTTTATTTTTCAGAGGGCAAAGTTTAATGGCAGTTCAAGTTTCATGTTTTTTAGGACAAGAAGAAACTGGTCACATCAATCAACTACCTGGGTAATGGTTCAAATGGCTTGAAAATCAAGCATGTCTAGATTTGGAATCTAATAGATCCCTTTCTAAGATGCAGCTGAAGCCCCATTTTGGATTCCTCCTTTAGTTTATACCATTTCTTTTAAAGATAACATCTTCTGTCTGCCCTGCCCTTCTTGTTCTCCCAGTGTAGACCTCCCCACTGTTTTCTACTGTAATGCCTCTTCCCATTGCAAGTAAATTTCCATTTCACTGCAGCTCTGTTCTCTTGCCTCACCTCAACACTGGTTCTTTTTCTTCCCTTCCTAGGTTTTTAGAAGAGGTAGTGAATTCTTCAGTGCCCCACATGATACAGTAATGCATATACACAGTTAACATATAGTTTAAAAAATTAAATATAATTATATTAAAAAAATTCATCATCATTCTGTCACCCATTCCCAGTCTTGCTTTCCAGAGGCCACTATTCGCAAGTCTTCTGTCAGTTCTTTTGGTATTTACTTCCACGTTTCTAAATGATATGGTAATCATGCTCTTCCATTGATCTTAGACAGTCTGGTTGGTTTCCTTTTTATGGTAGTTAAGTATTTAGCTTTCATACCAACCACCTCATTCCGTGACACTCCCTGACCCCCCAATACCTTTTATCAGTTTTAAATATTTTTCAAACGTGTGATTATGGTGAGCCTTTCCTGGGTTCTTCTGGGAAAACTGTATTCATGTATGATTCCCTCTCCAAAGGCACTTGGATCACATCCTCCTCCACTTGCTGTTACCACTTCATTTGCTATTTTTTGAAAATATGCTGGCATCTTTAATTTGTATTCTCTCCTATTCTTTGACCTTTACTTAGCAGTTCTATCCCTTGCCTGGTAAATTCCCTCACCTGTTTTTCTTATAGGTTATTCCTAGTTATTTCTGAGCTTGATAAAGAACTGGCAGAACTAGCAACTTAAGTGTCCGCCTAAATTTAACATCTAAAAAGAAATTATAAAAGCATAACTATGCTTGTTTTAACAAATTCAGATCGTAGTAGAGTATATTAAGCAGAGTGAAAATTTATATAATCTACCACTCAGAGTCACACCAACCATTATGTTTGGGGGTGACTCTTCTAGACCTTTTCTATACTGGATTGATTATGCTGCATTATATATGATACCCATTTGTTCCATAGCCTTTAAAATAAAATAGCATCACAATGTGTATTTAAGATTTGTATATTTTACTCAAATATATTGTAGATGTCTATCTAGATCTACTTAATCATTTCTCTCTTTGTAACTCTTTTTAGAACTTACGTTCTAGTTCTTGTGATCTAGCCTTGGGGTCTTGTGCCCTTCTTTTCCATTCACCTGC